CCTCCCCCTTCCCCCTTCCTCAGCCCCTGAGGCCCCACCTCTGCCCTTGGCCATGCCCCCTCTCTGGGCCACGCCCCCAGGAGGGATGGTGCTCTGGGGACATGGCCTCAATAGAGAGGGTGTGGCCTCGTGGGAGGGGGCGTGGCCACATGGGAGGGGCAGAGCCTATCAGGAGCCCCACCCCCAAAGATGGATGGGAGGAGCTTGAGGAAAGGGGGTGGGACCTGAGGGGAAGGGGCAGGGCCTGGCTCTGGGGGCTGTGGGGGGGCAGGGCTGGACTCCTGGGTCCCTCTTGGAGGTGGGAGGAGCCTCCCCGGACACCTGGGTCCTCCCCAGGGCTGCTGGGAAGGGTCAGCGCCCGTGGGGTCACCCTTGGCTCCGGCCCATGTCCAGGCATGTTCCCGTGTCCAGGCGTGATCCCATGGTCCCGTGTTCCACCATAGCAAGAGCATTCCCATGTGCCCATGTTCCCATGTCCCCCACTGCCAGATGTGTTCCTGTGTCCCCCGCTCCTAGGCATCTTCCCACATTCCCGTGTTGCTCAATGCCAGGCATGTTCCCCTCTTCCCGTGTTCCCAATGCCAGGTGTGTTCCCATGTCCCTGTGTTCCCAAGTCCCCAGGGCCGGGCATGTTCCTGTGTTCTCATGTCCCTGTGTCCCCATATCCCCAGTGCCAGGTGCATTCCCGTGTCCCTGTGTCTCCATGTTCCCAAGTCCCTGGTGCCAGGCATGTTCCCATGTCCCCCTGTTCCCATGTCCCTGGTGCCACCATCTTCCTGTGTTCCTGTGTCCCTGGCACAAGGTGTGTTCCCATGTTGCTGTGCCCATATGTTCCCATGTCCCCATGTTCCTATGTCCCAGGGCCAGGCGTGCTCCCATGTTCCTATGTTCCCATGTCCCCAGTGCCAGGTGTGTTCCCATGTCCCCATGTCCCCCTGTTCCCATGTCCCTGGTGCCTGGTGGGTTCCTGTGCCTGGTGGGTTCCCATGTCCCCATGCTGCCATGTCCCTGGTGCGGGGTGTTTTCCCATGCCCCTTGTTCCTGTGTTCCAGGGGCCTGGTAGGTTCACATGTCCCCATGTTCCCATGTCTCCAGTGCCAGCTGTGTTCCCGTGTCCCCCTGTTCCCATGTTCCTGGTGCCTGGTGGGTTCCCATATCCCCATGTCTCCATATTCCTATGTCTCCAGTGCCAGCTGTGTTCCCATGTTCCTGTGTTCCAGGGGCCTGGTGGGTTCCCATGCCCCCTTGTCCCCATGTCCCCATGTCCCTGGTGTCAGGCATGTTCCCCTGTTCCCATGTCACCATGTCCCCGTGTCCCCAGTGCCAGACATGTTCCCGTGTTCCCGGCATGTTCCCCTCTTCCTGTGTCCCCCCTGTCAGGCGCCGCCGCTGTGTCGGGTGGGTTCCCATGCCCCCTTGTCCCCATGTCCCCATGTCCCTGGTGTCAGGCATGTTCCCCTGTTCCCATGTCACCATGTCCCCGTGTCCCCAGTGCCAGACATGTTCCCGTGTTCCCGGCATGTTCCCCTCTTCCTGTGTCCCCCCTGTCAGGCGCCGCCGCTGTGTCGAAACACCCTGGCCCCCCGCCAGGCTCCTTCCCAGAAATGAGGAAGGACCCAGGCGTCCGGGGGCC